CAGCAAGTGGCTGTTGTGGCTTTGCTCTCAGTCCCTTTCCCTGCTTGCTGCCCTTCCTGGTCTCTCTGGAGCTCCCCGGAACAGAGATGTCACTGCTTGTCCCACCAAAAAGGTAATAGTGACCAGAGCTTGTTTCTTCCAGGCAGAAGTAATTCAGCCCCCTGTCTGCGGAATGCTGTGCTCCGGGTATCCAAGCAGCCCTGCAGAGCAGCACGGCTCTTCCATGCCACTGGGTCTGGAGGGTTTTTCTCCCACCGACCGTGGCCGGGGCCAGCTCTGTAAGGGTTCTCGTTGCTTTGGCAGAACCCTCACGGCCTGCTGTCCTGCTGACACACAGCCTGCAGCGTGAGAGGCAGAGCTGGCAGCAGGGTGGGAGTGTTGGAGAGAGAGAGACTGATGGAAAATCCCATCTGGTTTAATTTTGGGAAGCTGGAAGCAGATGAAGGTGGCGGGAAATGTTGTCTGCGGGCAGCAGATTGCATTAGCTTGAGCTTGGAAACACTTTCCCTGACAGCTGCCGGGTGTTTGTCACTGCAGAAATGGGGAGGGGGGGAACGTCTCTGCACGTGAAGGTGTGTGACTGAGAGTGTGTTTCGTTGTGTTTTCCAGTACCTGTCGTCCTGAAGTACCATACCTGACGAGGCAGCTGGAGGCTTTGGTGGAGCTGGCTGTGGGACAAGCAAACCGCTGTGTAATTTAAGCGAGATATCTGTATATAGCTTTGAAGTTGTTTTTCTCCGAGGAGCAAGGAGGCGGCGGCAAGTAGCCAGTTCCAACAGCGTGTTAAGAACTGCCAAATGACCCTTTTTTTTTGGTCAAGTACCTGCTCCTGCTGTCAGACTTTTTTTTTTTTTTTAATAACCGAAGATTCAGCTCCCGAAATGCCTGTTTTGTGGAATGCTGGGTCTGTGGTTTGGAGCTGGCTACTTGCTGCTACCATTTATCTGTATATATGGTTGAGTTGTAATATTAATATTGTTTGAGCAGCTCCCCACTGCCTGTTGTGGGAGGCAGAGGGGACTCTGTTCTTTCATCGCAGCAAAGGAGGGAAAAAATGTCTGAAGAGAAACATACCATTGTGTCACAGGGACCTGACCCTTCAGTGGAGAACGGCCAGGGTGTCGTTTCTCTCTTTAAAAAGGAAAAAAAAGAAAAAAAATTAGGTTTTACAACCCAGAAGACTTTGTGGTCCTGCCATGGGAATGCACAAGCTCAGTGTTTTCAGTATTGCTGCTTACAGCCGTGACTAAAGACATTCCAGTAAACCTATTTTTGACTGTACCTCTGGAGTTCCTGCACACCTTCATAGTGTTCTGGAGGACACTCAGGGCTCCCTGCTGCTGGAAGTCCCTAAGAAAGGGCTGTTTTGGCGTTTTCTTCACCAGAAAGGTGTGCAAAACCCAGCTATTAGCCCAGTGACAGGAGACACACCAGGAGGATGGCAGCTCTTCTGAAACCAGTCTGTGGTGAACAAGCCCATTTCATATTCAGAGCCCTTCACCTTGATGTGGTGGTTGTGGTCCCAAATGCCAGCCCGATTCGCTTCCCTGTGATTCGGTGGTTTCTGAAACCAGTCCGTGCTGAACAAGCCCATTTCATATTTAGAGCCCTTCACCTTGACGTGGTGGTTGTGGTCCCGAATGCCAGCCCGATTCGCTTCCCTGTCTTCTGAAACCAGTCTGTGGTGAACAAGCCCATTTCATATTCAGAGCCCTTCACCTTGATGTGGTGGTTGTGGTCCCAAATGCCAGCCCGATTCGCTTCCCTGTGATTCGGTGGGGTGGGGGTTGTCCCCACACAGATGTGCTGGGATGTTCGGGGAGGTGTAAGGGCTCCCTGTGCTGGACTAAGCAGGAGCTGAGCTCCTCCATCCATGGGTGGGACCGCTGCGTTTTGGCTGTCTCCATCCTTGGTCTGATGTGTCAGTCGCATTTCCGTCTGCCTTTTATTTCTGGGACCCTCGTTCCTTCCAGCCCTGAGGCTGGGACTGTAGCTGAGCC